GTCATCCACCTACCAATAACTAAAGAAAGTGCACTATTTTATAAGCGACGTTTAGCAGTGTTCAATCTTACTGTTTACGACATAGGAAATAAAGATGTAGGTTGTTACACTTGGGATGAGACCCATAGCAAGAGGGGAGCGAGCGAAATATCTACTTGTGTTTTTAAAGCACTTCAAAGTTTTGATATGAAAGGAGTCAAAACTGTCAATTTATTTTCTGACGGATGCCCAGGACAGAACAAAAATTCTATAGTACCAGCCATGTTGCTGTACTCAGTTGCACATAGCAGAAATATTGAAGAAATAAACTTAAGATACTTTGAGGCATACCACGGTCAGAATGAAGGGGATTCCTGCCATTCTGCCATCTCTTATGCACTAAAGCAAGCGGGGGATATTTTTGTGCCTTCCCAGCTTCATCCGATTTTCAAACTTGCTAGAAAAGACAAACCTTATTCAGTCCATCATCTACAGTTCAATGACTTTTTGGATTTTAAAGAATTGTCACAACAGCTTAGAATTCTTAAAGAAAGAGAAGTGCAAGACGATAGCAACGCAGTTGTTGACTGGACCAAGTTTGTAGAGTTAAGAGTATGCAAGAGCAACCTACAACAAATACATTTTAAAACAAGCCATATGGATTCTGATTACAAAACAATCAATTTGAAAAGACAAAAAAAAAACATAAGGGACCTCACTGTTAAGCCTCTGAATAGGACACGACGAAGTATCCCACATGCAAAATACGTGGACCTCAAGTCTTTGTGTGAAGGCAACACTCCTGTCATACGAAATGATGAGCACAAGAACTTCTTCGCTCAATTAAGATCGGAATAAAATAACAGTCACTGATGAACAAACTCAGCCTTACTCCTAGTTTTATATAAACTTTACAAATAGCATCATTTTACAGTCCTATGGGCTAATTGTTAGGCAGCTTGAGCAAGGCAGTCTTTTCTCTTTTTATTATTTCTATTTTTTATACAAATAGTAGTCTAAAATGATTTAGGTTTTATAATATGGTAGTATTTTTTAATTTTATGTTAGGAGGATATTTTTATTTCATTTTAAAATCTAGTATCAAAATAATAAGAAAATAAGTTTTGGTTCTTTTTTACTAAGGTATGCAACATGTATTTTTATACCTGTTATTTAGTAGTATTAAAATAAAAAGTAAATGATTTAGGTTTTATGTGGTAGTATTTTTTAATTTTATGTTAGAAGGATTATGTTTTATTTAGTTTTATTATCTATTATCTCAATAATAATAGGACTAAGATGATAATACGTTTTTTTTATTAAGTACGGTATGTAAAATGTTTTTGACAACTGTTATTTGGTAGTATTATTATAAAAATGAAAATGATTTAGGTTTTATGGTAGTATTTTTTATTTTATGTTTAGAAGATATTTTTATTTTGTGTTATTCTAGTTTCTATAAAAATTATTAATAAATAATAAGAAGATAGGTGTAATTGTTTGTTCTTTTCAATAAATAATATGCAAAATGTATATTACACCTGTAATTTAGTAGTATAACATTATAAAATTGTTACATAACCTACAACAGTAGTTATATTATGAAACATGCTTAAGTAACAAAATTATAAGGTTAAATACTAGGAAAGTTAATTATGTTTTACTAAATAACATCCATTTAATAAATAAAACTTGGGCTGAAACATTTTTTTCTCATTTATTACCAATTATAGTAATTATTTGTTGTAATAAGTAATCATTCAGTTTGGTTGAAATTTAGTATAACTTCATTATTCAACCATCACTGCCTTTAATAATTCAGTCGTATCTTACTATACATACTGGTTCCTGTGTCAGACGAACTGACGTATCTTCAATATATATGTCATATCTTACTATACATTCTGATTTCTGTTCAGACGAACTGACGTATCTTAAATAAATATATATATTTTTAGTTAATTACATATTTATTATTAAGCTATTATACTCAATGTAATCATTGACTCTTCTTCTATTAGCAATAAAAAAATGATTTGTCTACATATTCTGAGTAAAGAGCTATAGTAAAAAGAGTAAAGGCACTTTCAGTTTTTTGGCTCTCCTGAAAAATTACCGAAATCGAGATACGACTTTTCGCCTGGAAGGGGACGATTTGCTTACCTGAGATAGCACGTACGATTATTATTCACTTAATAATTTATGTTAGATTGTGTAGGTAAAATTGGTCCCAGGCCTAGGTCTTACCGTGCCATTAATCCGACTGTTCTTCCCTTTTGTTCTGTAGCATATTTGTAATGTGCTAGTTTAGTCCGAAGTTGTTATTTTAGTTAGTAGTATCATTGACTTTACACAGAATTCTGTGTATAGTCAATGGTAGTATGAATATTTTTGGTTAGTAACTCACGGTATTAAGTTAACATAATAAGCACGGGTTTACACGTTTGTACAAAATCTTATAAAAATCGGATTATTTTTATTCTTATTATTATTATTTCTTATTATTATTTTATTTTCTCGAGTTATCGTGCTAACAGACATTATTATATACAGGGTGTCCATAAAACGTTTCAGGACTTTGAGATATAAATCCTCATATTAAAAGGAAGAAAAAGGTTGATGTGAATATAATGTTTGAAAATGCATATTTACTTAGATATCCGCCATTTTGTTTTTTGTCCATAACTATTTTAATATTTGAGGGTTTTCAACCAATGATTATGAAATTGGTAAGATTGTTACCCCCCATAACACCGCATTCCCATAGTCCGATCATGCCGGTTTGTGAACTTATTCAAGTTTATCCCGCCCTACACCTTAAAGCCAAATTTCATTAAAATCAGAAAAAGTTTGCTCAAGTTGTCACATTCATAAAAATTTGAACGAATAGTGTTTTTGGCCTCTAGGGACATCAAAATTAAATTTTATATTGGTCCCTGGTCTAGGTCTTACTGTGCCATTTACAGTAATAGTTACTTCCCTATATGGAAATTCACTTATAATAAAATTTTGAGATGAGAAATTTTAAAATTGCAGCCATTTTAATTTTTATAACTTTAACAACTCGAAAATGGATAATTTTTTAAATAACTCTCAAGAACACTATTATTTAGCATTTATAATTCCCTACCAAACGACACCAAGATCAATTATTAACTTATATGGGAAATTCGCTACAAACGAACTTGAAAACAACAATTATTGTGGTTGTATCAACTGTCCAATGAAAGAAAACATCTATAAAACGTACTTTTAGTTAATAGACTGCAGAAAAAGTTAAAATATCAAGATTAAACTATTAATTGTGTTATATCAATTAGGCAGCTAATTGTTCCCACCAACGTAAATGCTGTTTGGAACAGAAGTGGAAGTCCAAGTAAATATCAACTTTACCTTAATTATAAATTAAGGACATTGAAAAAAAATACCCGATAAGCTTTTGATGTGCTTCAATTATTTTCAACAATAAACAAAAAGCTACTTGTTATGCAAATTCTCTGTTTTTACCGACGTTTTGGTGATTGCTAGAGTTATCCCTGCCAAACTCTTGGCAGCGGAGAGGAAGGCAATCTACCAGAGACAAGGCTACATTGGGAAAGATGCTGCAAGAACGGAAGAGCGCTCCCACACATTTCAGGGTTGGCAAGAGAGCTGGAAAAGGGAGGCTCGAGGACGTTGGACTGCCAGACTCATCAGACAGGTCCAACCGTAGGTGGAACGGCGGCGAGGTGAGGTGGACTACTATCTCACGCAGTTCTTGTCAGGTCACGGCTATTTTCGGTCGTAACTGCACTTGATGGCTAAAACCAATTCACCTGACTGTATTTACTGCCTGAGGATTCCCGATGACATGGAAAATACCCTTTTCCAACGTCCAAAATGGTATATGCTCCGCCGGGAGGCCACGCAACATCTTGGGGTGCTGTCAATTGAATTGATTTGTGAGACCTTACAGGAGGGTGAGGACAACTGAGACTGCTGGTCGCATTTTGTCCTGAATATCCTTCAAGTTAAAAAGAATGACCTAGATCGGATCACAGTCTAGATCGTGTAAGAAATGAACGGCTAGACACGGAGTAAGCCTTTCGGGCGTAGGCGAACTCGGCCTAGTTCTGATGAAGTGTGACAAGTGTTCTAAGAGTAGGGAAGGTTTTTAGTGGGTAGTCTTTGGGTCTTATAGACCCGTAACTTGGTCTTTCTTGAGAGTAGTTTGCTTTTTAAAAGCTCTTGTAAAGCCTAATAACATCTGTTGGCATTTATTATTCTTGTGTTGATTTCAGCCATTTCTTGGTTACCTTGATCAATAGTCACTCCTAAATATTTGAATTCTGTCACTCTTTCAAATGTGAGGTCCTCTACTTGTAAGTTGTCACTAATATTGATCCATGTGACGGCCTACCCAAAGATATTTAGTTTTCTGTTCATTTACCTGTAGCCCTACTTTTTTTGCTTCCTCTATTAGAGCTTTGGCAAGGCTTTTCAAGCTATGTTCATCTTCCGCGACCAGCACAATGTCATCCGCGAAGGCTAAGACATTAAATTTTGCTCCCACTTCTATTCCTTGGCCTCGACTTTTTACCTTTTGAAGGGAGTTTTCTAAAGCCAAGTTGAATAATAAAGGTGAAAGCCCGTCTCCTTGTTTAACTCCAGTTAGCACTTCAAATTCTGTTGATAACTCATTATTGATTCTGACTTAGCATCTAGACTCTTCAGTGCATGTTTTAGCCAGTAACTTGGTTTGCTCACACCCATTGTAGTCTATAAATGAATTTTTAGACTTATTTTTGGAATATTTTAAAGATTAAAAACTTTTAGATAAAACTGTTTTATACCCTAAGAAACATCATATTAAAGGAACACCATAAGATCAGTGTGATATTTTTATGTACCTATGTAGTTTACTAGTTATGACATTTTAACCTGACACTTGCACTGTTTGTTTGAAGATTCTTATTCTATGAACCTTTATAAGTATGAAAAGTTTATAAATACAATGCATTAGAGGAATATTCAACACTTACTGTAGAGTCCAAAGTTCTTCGCAAAGGATTGACAGCAGAGAAGTTCAAAACCTCTGGATACAAAATACCGAACGGCCCAGGAATCCTTCTCCAAATCTCCTGAGGCAAACCCTTGGTAGGCGGAGTCAAACAAGGTGAATAACTTTCGTTCCTACACACCAATCATCAAATTAAGTAAGCATACACCCCTATAAGAGAAACTAACAATTTAATTGCTATTATTTTATTGCTTGCAGTGACGGAAAATTGATTATTTTGATTTAATATCCATCAAGGAATTAAAAATTACTATATGGATAACAAATTTTAAATTATTTGTCAGCTAATTATTTACTTACTAAGTTTTTACTTTCTCCCCCTATACCATAGTATATGGAGAAAGTATTGTTTTGTCAAAATTTTTGAGTTCTGGACCCAAAAAAGTGGTTTTTGAAGTGATGTCTGTGTGTGTATGTGTATGTCTGTATGTATGGATGTGTACAGAGCTACAGACCACACCTGTGGTCCGATTAAGATAAAATATTTTATTTGTATGATGTACCAATCCATGGTATCTCCAGGAATTTTTTTTAAATTTTGATTTTTAATGGTTTTTCCCATAAAAACCCATAAAATAACAGTATGATATAGTCCTTTTAATTCTGAACAGAATGGTACAAATCCAATTTCCGTAAAAATTACAGTTCAAAAGTTATTGCATCTTATATTATTTTCCCATAAAAACCCATAAAATAACAACAACAAAAATATGATTTCAAAAGAAACCCGGTTTTGATTAAAATTTAAATGTTAAGGTCCTTCTAAACAATTCTAAACAAAACAGTGGAACTAGTTGTAAAACTAGCTGTAAAAATTACTGTTCAAATTTTATTGCAACTTGTGATTTTCCCTTTAAAATATCATAGTTACTCCCACCGCTTACCCATGATAAAGGTTGTTGTCGTGGATGACAAAGCTAATGGGAGAAAGTATGTGTCAGGTAGCTGATACCGTTTATTTAATCTATATTTTTTTTTTTTTTGCTAGTTATAAAATTCTTGTGAGAAATATATGCGATGTAGATAAGATAAAAGATTAAATCGAGAGTTTGAGAAAAAAAATATAAAAATTGTTCGCAAACCCAACTATACAAAATTACGACAATAAAAAGGTAAGGCATGTGAGAAAATACTCCCGCCGCAGCACACCTATAGACTAAGCGAATTTCCATTTGCATGATTGGATTTGCATTAAAATGTCGCCTTAAAAATGGGAATTTTGCTGGAATTCAAATGTTTGATAGGTCAAATAATTTATAATTGTGCCAATAGGTCAAAAACTGCAATGTTTCTGGGTAAAAATTCTCATTGAGTCAAATAAAACCATCATCATCATTGTTCATCATTGAGTCAGTGCTGAAAACGTAGTCTCTGTTAAAGCGATTGACACATTGGGATTTTGACCTAATGCAACAGCAGTTTTAATGTGACAAAATACGATAAAATACAAGTTCAGTTTCACTGAGTCAACAGTGCCGGAAGGTCAAAAGTAACGTCGATTCAGTGGAAAGTAGACCTCCTGCAACGCTTGCTATCAACAAAACACGTGTTTTGTTATAATTAGAAAAGAGCTAAAATTATCATATTTGGTACATGGCTTATCTATTAATGTTTCTTGCTAACTGTTTGGTTTAAACTGTAAATAGGTAGTTTGTTTTCGAATATAAATTAATGTATTTTGTAAAAAAACTTTTGCCAAAATTTGTGACATCAAAAAGTTAGTATGGGATGATTTTTTTATGTTTTGGGCAGAGATGTTTTGTCAGTGATAAAATTGTTGCCAATAAGTATATGATTAACACGTTCAGTGCTGACTACATCAATTGATGTAGTCGCGCCACGAGCGCTCCTATCGGCCTACATCAATTGATGTAGTTGCAAAACCCCACTGCATTAGTTCAGTATGAGCTCATCCATTGCCGGGGGACGTTAAAATCGTTGCTAGCCTGTAGCTTAGAATGTAAGCTTTATTTTGGTGTAGGTTGGTACTAAAATTTCCCGAAAAATCCCGCCTGACAATGCTTTTGTCCCGGTTTCGGGGATTTTCTCTCTTCAAGCCACATTACAAAGCCACTGACTACTGATCCAGGCAGTGCTGCTACCTTTGGGTGTTTTAGGGAACTACGTCCAATCTCGGGGTAACATAGTACAATCACCGCTGCTCTTTTGTTATTCGTAAGATTGAAATATTTGAATGCCGATTGCGTTCGCTGATACGGTGCTGCGCCGGGGCTTCGCCCGGGCCTCGCAGCCATTAACGAGCGCCTGTTGGAATGCCTGCCGCACTGAACGTGTTAACATACGTTGTTAGGGAAATTGTTGAAACATTGGTTGGAGAGATATTTCACGCTTAAGTTGAGGTAATGCTCACCTTGACCCTGCGGTCAGGACGAGCATCTCAATTTTCCTAGAACTATATCATGAGTTATATATAATGCAAAAATATACAGGGTGAGTTTTAATTGTCCCCCCCCCCAACTTTTTTCTACATTTTTTCAAATATCAATCTCAGACCACTTCCAAACATTGTTGGGTAGTAAGTACTTCATTTTGACAAAGTGGTCATTTACGGCCGCCATCTTGGATTTGCCAAATGGGATGCAAAATATTTTTTTTCAAATATAAAGGTGGGGTTGTGACCCATTATTGCAAACTAGATTTTTACCCTGATTACAATGCCACAAATCGTTTTTAAAAATCTTGATCCATTCCAAAGTTATGAGGGCTTTTTATAACTTTATTTTTAGCCCATTTTAACATTGTCCTTTTACAAACTAAGACCATAATCTCAAAATAGTGCTAGATAAAGATAAGTATACACCACCAGACATTGTCGACCTATTTTCACATCATGCTGGTTCGCGAACTCGTTCAAATAAATGTAGGTTTACACGTTTATACCAAATTTCGTCAAAATCGGATCTTTTTTTCTCGGGTTATCGTCCTAACGGACACGTATATAAATAAAAATGAATTTGAACAGATGGTGTTTTTGGCATCTAGGGACTTCAAAACAAAAAAGCAAATTGGTCCCGGGTCCACGTCTAGTACTATGAGTACTACGGTAATAGCTTATATTCCCTATATGGGGAATTCACTAAAAACAGTACATGCTTTAATGGGGAGTGATTCACAATGAATTAATGCAACAATGAAAATTTACTTGTGGTCATGTGATAAGTGTTGCAGACCCGTTGTAATACACCTCCTTTGGTACTGGGGTATAATTGAAATACACTTCTTGATCAAAACTAGTTTGTGTTGTGAAATTAGAAGGTATAGGAAAGTACCAACTATCTCCAGTGGGTCGCTCAAGTCGGCATGCTGGGAAGTTTCCAGGGTTCAGATAATAAACCAATCAATTATATAACCTATCACAGGTACAGATTTGTATGCACAAAAAATGTAGTGTGAATCAGGTGTTAACTCAGTACCAATAACAAACAGCGCTACTGTACCATCATCATCGCTCACACCTGGGAGTATCTAATTGAATAAAATTTAAAAATAAAAAATCCTACAACAAATAAAATTATAAAACAAACTAATGTTGCAGTTTTGTCAACCTCAAACGTTTTAATTTTTAATATTATGGTGGATCAAGTCCAAAGAAGAACAGCTAGGGGACTCTCTCTGTGTCATTCCTGAAGGAGACATACCGAAGACCAAGGTGGCAACGGCTTTCTTCCCGAACTGCAACCAGCTCAAAACAGAGGACATACTGCTGTGGCTGGAAAAACAAAATAAAGGGCTAAAAGCCACAAGCTGGGGAGCCCTTAACAGAATTGTGGACGGGACTACAGTCCAACTCTTCCTGGCTCTGGATCCACTCACAGGATCAAAACTCAAGAAGGAAGGACCGATAACGGCCTACTCCAGGATGGGCATGGTGACGCTGAAGCTATAATATTGATAGCACCACATATTGGTAGCAGAGCGTGGTTCAATGAATTCTAAATTTGGAATATTGATTACCAGACCACGACCAATTAGAGAACCTAATAAATTACATAATTAATTACTATTTACCCTAGCCTACACCCTTCCCCAGCCCCTATCTAATTATCTACTCATAGTCTTAATCCTACTACTTATCGAATGTTGAAGCACCGTCCAACGACCACACGACACTACGACTACTCCGTCCCTTGCCGCGCTCGCTTGCTTTGGAGAGACTGCGCGCGCACCTAACTGAGTCACGTGACTTGCGCTAGTCTCAGCTGGTCGATGACGTCACGAGTTCACAAACCCAGGAGCTGTCACGATTCACAACGCCAGTGCAGCCGGCTAGTGGGCACAATTCATAACACAAAAAATTTCTTCAGGGTTATATGTTTTGAGGCGTATGTCACTATTATGTAGCCTGGACACCCTAAAATCAATATATTTTGCGCATATACATTCCCATCTGTCTGGCAATCTATGGAGGAACGTCCAAACAAAATTTAGATACAGTTCTGAAACTCCAAAAAAAGCTATATCAAGCTATACTTGGACAAACAAATAACTGTGAAAGATAAATTTTCAAAACTACATATTTTGACTGTCTATGATCAGTATATACTAGAATGTGTTATGTGTGTCAAAAATCAACTACAAAATTTGGAAATTAGAAAAAATGACCATTCATATGACACTAGAAATAAGAATGATATAAATTTATCAAACAAAACATAACCTCAGCTTCTTTGAAAAAAAGGGAACCTTTATGGGATCAAAATTTTTAATCAATTTTCCTACAAAATTAAAAAGTAAAATAAACCAAAATAATTTCAAAAAACTAGTTAAGAATCATCCGTTGCAAAAAAATATTAGTCATTTGATGAGTTTTTCAATGTAAAAACGACTAAATAAATAAGGTTGAGGTGCTCTGATGGAAAAAAATAAAAATTAAACTGTAAGCGGTTTCTACTTTTCTGTAAATCGAAATCAAAATGCATAACAATTAGTTATAGTCTGACACTATTCATGTATGTATATACAATATGAATAAAGAATTTTTGATTTCATTTGATTTGATTTGGAGAGGTTATGTTGTTGTTTACCTGTGCCAACTTTGAAATTATACGGTGGAACTTTTATTATTGTTGTGATATATTCCAAGATGTACAATCTCCAACCGTGATGTGTAATTCAGTGTTTGACAAAAGTTTATGCATGTTATGTAAGTGATATTGTATTCACGATCACGGTTCACCACCCTAGCCTGCACAACAACTTTGGCCATTCTTCCCAAAGGTTTATATTAGGTATGGGGGTTATATGACAACAGTTTATTATCTGTTTTGTACACAACAATGCTATTCCGTGACTTGTATACTTCCAAAACAGTGTCTTCAGTGATTTTGCCAAAAGTGAGGTTATCCCTACTTCAATCCTAGGCTAGGCCTCAGATGGCCTACTACAGCTATTTTCCTTACCAAGATAGGTTTACCACTATAACCAACCAGATAAGGAATAGGCCTACTGATAAATAAATAATAAATATAAAATCTGAAACCCTCTATAATTTTGACCCATTACATACGTAAAGAACAGAACAATAGAAAGTTTCGTAAGCTACCGCTAGTCGAGGCTACTGCTGCATTCTGCTTCAAGACAGAATAATGTTGATAAAAACATTAGACAACAATATCATAAAAAAGAATAAAATGATAGTACTTGAAGATAATAACAATACCCATATAACAAATTAGATAAGATAAAGATAACGATGACATAAAAACATTGCTTATTCTTTTTCTTTGTTCTTCTACTCTTTCTTGAATATCTCTTCATCCACAAATTCAACAAGTTGGCATGGTAACCAATCTCCCAGTCCTAAGCTATTAAAGTTTTCTTGGTTACTAATTATTACCCAATCACAAGCATTATGTCGTCTACTGTTGTGACATAGCGCACAGCAGACAGATGTTTAATTGGAGCAGACTATTGTCAATGCAAGAAATAGCTTGACCTTGAAGCTACAGATCAATATTTCTTTGTTATACTTCCATTTTATTTTTGACAGATGAACAGTGATGTTTCAGAAACAATAATAAGGGAGCCTACTGCGTATAAACAATGGGCAGAAAACTTACACAATGTATTACAACATATTAGATTAAAGAAACACAATTTATAAAATTTTCTTGGTATTTTTCTTGGATAATGAGGTTATGTAGCATTAAAATTATTTTAGAGGCATCTATTGACCACGGTTAATCGAGGTACTACTGTAACGTAACATACCTGTACAATATCAGCGATGGCTGCCCACTGCTCCTGCGTAGGATCACACCCTGTAGGGTTGTGAGCGCAAGCGTGTAGGATGATAACAGCATTCTCTGGAGCACCTTTCAAGTCTTCCACTAGTCCATCCCAGTCAATGGTGCGATTTTTGTCATCCCAGTATCGGTATTCTTTGGCCTCAGAAAAGCCCGCATTTAAAAATACCAAGCCATGATTTTCTGCAAAATAGTGTTTTGAATTATTCACAGTCTACAGTCTTTTCATTTGTGAGTCAATTAAATTTGTTTCATTTGGTGATAAAATTGCAATAGGTAAAAATGTTCATATAACACTATATACTTACAATACAATAGGCAATCCCTAAAATCATAACATAATGAAGGGCTATTCATTTGGAATTATATAATCATCATTTTGATGTGATACTTGCATTATTTATACAATAGAATACTCTTATCTCATTTTTTTTCGTATTGATAAAAAAGTCACAAATAAACACAAAACATGGTTAAGTCAAATAGGCCTACTTTTAGTGGAACAGATTATAGTACTAGGCAAGAGTCAATACAAATTCTTATTTTAATAACTTTAGTACTGTAATGTATTATTTGATGCTTTCCAAATCCATCGTAATACAGTACAGAACCTTTTGTCAAAATTAAAGATACAAGCAACCATTTTGTTACGAGACAGGATGTTTATTTATAGCCTATCACTGGAGACTCGAGGGACAAAAACTATCTTGACCTTGAAGTTGTTAACCCCCCTTCCTTGCCCTCCCTACAAATTGCGTTGTTTGTTTACTCAAGTGATTAGATAATCAGTTTTCAAAATCGTAACGCACTTTACGATTTTATAAATTTGCCACACAGATAACAAATCAGATCAGATGTGCTCGTCCTACGAACAATGATGACAAACTAACAATATGCGATATTTTTTGTTATCCCTACAAAATAACTTATTCTTAGTCACATCCTGTGGAGATAAGCGTAAGGTTCGGTTCTCATCGCCCAGCTTGAGAGCGGAAATGCCGAGGTTTGGAGAAAGCGGCGGTTAAAGGTACGTTGTCACTGGTGCGGCTGGAACTGCAGTCGTTGGACGATCATCGTTCGACGATTATCGCTCGGCAATAATCGTTGCAGTAGGTAACTGGTGCGATTATTATACAATCATTCACTTATTTCTTGACTGTTGCCGAGTTGAGGTAGGGATAGTGAATTATTAGTTTATAGGCTTTAACAAAATACTATTCATTTATTTGTTAGTTGAAGAGCTAGAAGATGGAGAAATTTTGGAAATGATACGTGTTCCAAGACTTAGCATCACACATAGTATATTTACAAAACGAACAGAAGAGGGGTACTTCAAAATATTAATAAACAATCATTTTCAAGCTGATGAGAGAATGTTATCTGAGTTCTTCAGACTTTCAAAATGTCAGTTTAAGTTATTTAAGCAAGGTCGGTTAAAACAAACTGTAATATTTAACGATCGAAGGCGGATTTAATCCGATTTAATACGAGGTCGGTTAAGAGGGGGTCTACTGTACCTAAAACCACCGCTATTGAGCGACATCAATCAGCTGTTTTATTCTTATTTAACTGATCAGCTGTTTGTAACGTAACATTGTTAAAATGTGATAATTTTCTGCTGCTTATTGTTAATTAATGTGCTGCCTAAGTATTATTTAAATAATAAATTAATTAAAACATAATACCCCTGCCGCAGCAATCCTGCAGACTAAGCGAATTTCCATTTGCCTGATTGGATTAACACTAAAATGTCTTGTTAAAATTATCACATTTATTCCCTATTTAAATAGCAATAGTTTAACGAGTACTTAAGTTTGATGCAACAGGGAGGGTAAAAAGGTGTTTTTCGTAAAATGTTAATAGTTTAGTATGAAATGAATGCATTTTCCAAATTTGATCAAAATATGTTCATAAGAAAGCAAACTACAACAGTTTACTTATTCACTATAAGAATAGCATGGGAATTTTTAATTTACAGTGTTTTGGAATTGTCTCTGTAACCTTTAGGCGCATAATAACGCAATGTACTAAATTATTTGTTTTTTAAGCTCTACAAAATGGTTTGGAAAGAAATTGCTAAATTTTTAGTTTTTAAGGTCAAAAATGGGAAAAACCAATTTTTACCCCATAAAACCCCCCATAAACCCCATTCCCATAGTCCGATCATGTAGGTTCGCGAACTTGTTCAAATAAACTTAGGTTTACACGTTTGTACCAAATTTCATCCAAATCAGATGATTTTTGCTCGAGTTATCGTGCTAACGGACACATGTATAATATATATATATATATATATATAAATATACATATATAAATATATATAGGCCTATATAAATATATATATGAATTTGAACGGATGTTGTTTTTGGCCTCTAGGGACCTCAAAATGAAAAAGTAAATCAGTCCCGGGTCCAGGTCTTACCATGAATACTACGGTAATAGCTTATTCCCTATATGGGAAATTCGCTAAAAGAAAAAAACATTTAAATTCAAGAATAAAGTTTATTTATTTACATGAGGAATGACTAGTAAATCTGTTCATAAGTGATTAAATCCAAGAAAATAATTTGGAATAATCTATGGACTGACCTATAATTATTAAAAATTGATGTTCAATATGCCCACCACAAACACGTTTGCACTTTGTGAACCGTGCTGTCATTGCATTAATTGCCACACATCCACAAATAGTGACCAAAAATGGGGTGAAACATATGTCAAACTGGAATTTATGGTGTACCTCAAGGGTCAATATTGGGCCCTCTATTAATGACCCTCCACAAGCTATTGGCAGAGATAGCTGATGATACAACAGCACTCATAAGAGAGGACTCAGTAAGTAACTTACTTCTATCGATGGAAGCACTTTGGACCATATGAAAAATTGGTTTTCAGGCAACGGCTTAAAACTAAATATTGACAAAACTCATATAATTAAATTTTTCTTTGAAAACAGTTGAATTCTTGATGAAATTCCAAATACAGTAGAATCTCATAGATTTTTGGGTGTATTACTAGACACTCATATTAATTGGAACTTGGAATATTTACATGGATAAGATAAAAGAGCTAATTAAGATCTATCTCTTTTGCATTCTTTTATTTGATAAATTGTGTACCCCAGGATACATGTATCTCAGTTTATTATGGAAACATTGAATCTATATTGAGTTATGGAGTCATACTGCTGGGCAGTGTCAACGGAGGTCAAATCCCTACTATCTTTACAAAATAAATCATTAGAATCTTAACTAAAAGAAGGAGAAAATCATGTAAAAACCTGTTTAGAAATCAGAACTCACACCATTTTCGGATTTTGGTTTTTTCACTATAGGGAAATTCGCTAATAGCTTTGAAAATAAAGTTTATTTGCATGTAGCGTATTAAAAATATAGATAGATATGACATTATATAACATGGTATATCATGTATTCAGCTCTTTTTACCCCAGGAAGGCTTGGAGTAGTAGAAGACTGAGAACTTGAGTTGCCGAGCCAGAAACTCAGCTGCCACTCTTAAGGCTCCAGTGCCGCTCAGAGTTTGAACTCCAAACGCCTGTAAATATTTCAAGGGGTTGATGTTTATTGTAACAGTGTACATATGCTAATACAGTAGAGTCCCGCAAACTCGGCGTACTGTGGCCTGGAAGGGTGCCGAGTTTATGAGATGCCGGGTTATTGGGAACTAGGGTTAAAAATAAGAACAATAAAATGTTTACGCTTTTTAACCGCCTTTTTTATTTATATTTATATTAAGTCAGTATTAGGTCAGATATAGTACAACAAATCCTTGGTATGAGTTGGGAATGATTTGACTTGAGCTGGCTTGAGTCCATTTTTAACTCAGACTCAAAAAATCAATAATGTTCTGAGCCAGGTGATGGCCGAGTTATCCGGACTGCCGGGTTATCGAGTGCCGAGTTTGCGGGACTCTACTGTATAGATCAACTACTTTTAGGTTTTACTAGTATTTGGTATTGATCTGTTAGCACAGTGCCAAGTCTGCCCCGTTGGCTTTCAAAGTTCTAAGGTTAGTTTTTTTTTTATAGTAAATATTGATTGGTCTCGACGGCAACAAAGAGAAAACTCACAATGTAAGAAAATAGAAAGTAGAAAAATTCTTTAATCCTTCAACAATATACGCATATTGTAATGGACATTGTCAAACTTAATTAAAAAGGCAACAAACGTTTGTTCTGTTTACCTTTGCATTAATCTTTAAAAAAGTAAACAAGCAGAACTGTCAAATTCAATTTATTTCTCAATTTCCACATAGCTGGTTTAAACAAATTAAATACAGGGTGAAAAAACTTGCAAACCTGCAGACTAATAGAATTTTTTTTAAATTTCAACTTGCCCCAAACTACTATTTTTGGGGGGGAGGGGGTGAAAATTGAGGGAAATTCATTGAAATTGGCTTATTTTATTAAATTTCAATTTTTGTTAACCCTAGAACGGTCACATAGAGTGTTTCTGTAGGGCCAGGCAGTTTTTGCCTTCCATGCAGCGTTTTAGGCTAGGATTATACTAGGACGCTGGCGTCCGAGAGGCCAGCGTCCGGGACGCTAGCGGGGCATTAAATCAAATGGGGGCGATTATACTATGGATGCTAGCGTCGGATGCTAAAAAAAGCCACCGAAAGCTCGAAGTTATTACCGTAGGTGGCATGGTAAGACCTAGGCCCGGGACCGATTTACTTTTTCATTTTGATGTCCCCAGAGGCCAAAAACACCATCCGTATAGATTTAAATATTATATATATATGTCTGTAAACGCGATAACTGGAGTAACTTTTGTTCTATTTTGAAGAAATTTGGTTTTAAGGTGAAGGGTGGGATAAATTTGAATGAGTTCGCGAACCAGCATGAACATACCTTGGGAACGGGGTTTTATGTGCTAAAAAAGGGGGTTTGTAATTTTTGACCCATAAAACTAAAAAATTCACAATTTCTCTCTAGACAATTTTAATGAGCTTAAAAACAAATAATTTAGTATATTTGAGTGTTTTTGTACTGTTATTAGTTATGGAGAAAATTAAAAAAAGAGTATATTAAAAATTGCCATGTTATTCTTATAGAAAATGTTGTTAAGTGTTGGAATTTGCTTGTGTATGGATATATTTTGATTAAACTTGGACAATTTGTTTTATACTAAGCTAATAATACAGTATTTTACTAAAAAACACACTTTATTAGCCCCCTTAAAGCATCAAACCTTGGTACTCGTTAAACCTAATGTTATTTAAATAGATATAAACATGAGTGACTAAACATTGAAATAAAATGGCATTCCGAGAGGCTAGCATCCCAACACAAATCACGCCATTTTTCAACTAGAGGTGGGACGCTAGCCTCTCGGATGCCAGCATCCCGGACGCCAGCGTCCTAGTATAATCCTAGCCTTACTCTCACAGTTGTATAACTCCTATTTATTTGCTAAAACGTATAATATATACCATACAATTTGAGGCATTCTAGAGAATATAAATATATCAATGAAATACAAAAATCTGGTTCATAAAAATACATTTTTGTAACAAAAACCAAAAGTCCTAAATTTACAAAAACTAAATTTCAAAAGTTTGGGCGCACAAAAAATAATTTTTTTCTTTTCAAAAATTCAAGACATACAAATGTTTGTAGGCTACCTTTATTTCCCTACATAAATATAACAAAACATTTGAAACAACTATAAAAGCTTTTGAGATATGTTCAAAAGTTTAAAACTCTAAATTTTTTCTGAATTTTACATACTTTTATGCTTTTAGGCCTACTTTTAGAAATAGATCAATACCCCCGCTGCAGCAAACCTGCAGACTAAGCGAATTTCAACTTGTCTGATTACATTTTTACTAAAATATTTCCATATATAAGACATATTTATTCCCAATTTAAATAACATTAGAATTAACGAGTGCTTAGGTTTGCTGCTACGGGGAAGGTAAAAAGTATTTTTTGACCATACGTCAATAGTATAGGATGAAATAAAAAAATTTTCCAAATTTTATCAATATATACACATAAACAAGTAAACTACAACAGTTTTCATTTTCTGCATAAGAATAACATGGGAATTTTAAATTACACTATTTTTGAATTTTCTCCCTGACCGTTAGGCATACAACAGCGCTTCAATATAGTAAATTATTATTTTAAGCTCTACATAAGGGTTTAAAACTAAATTGCATTTTTTTTTGTTTTTAGGGTCAAAAATGTGAAAACCCCCCATTACATAAAGCCCCCCATAAACCCCTGTTCCCATGGTCCAATTATGCTAGTTCGCGAACTCGTTCGAATAAACATAGGTTTACACGTTTTTACCAAATTTCATAAGAAATGGATAATTTTTTGAGTTATCGCGCTAACGGACACATATATATATATATGAATCTGAACCACGGCCACCTTCAACTACAGGGCCGCGGCCTGGTAGAATTGGCAACATCGCAAGTGGTGTTATTTAGTGACAGACGTCCCATAAGATAACATGGCAGACAGGTGACATCACATCATATATATATTAATTTGAACGGATGGTGTTTTTGGCCTCTAGGGACCTCAAAACGAAAAATTTTATATCGGTCCTGGGTGCAGGTCTTACCATGAGTACTACGGTAATAGCTTATTCTCTATATGGGAAATTCACTAAAACCATTAAAACAACACATATTTTCTGTTAGGGTGAGTGCACCAGTGAATGACCGTTTAAGGTTGACTTTCTACTTGTAAACGACATGGGAAAATATACTACTAAGCTACATTGTACGAAATCGTTAAAATGTATTGCCCATATTTCCCTGTACTTCCTGATGATACAACTTAATGCATTATGATAAAAAAAAGTATCGAAAAATACAATTTTTTGCACATAAATCATCGCACCAGTAAATGACCACATATTATATAACAATTTTAAAATTGTATTAAACCTCTTCCTTTTCACCGAATGGTTCAAGATTTTCGCATCGAAGCTCTAAACGGGAATGTTGCTGGAAGTCAACAGTGCTGGAAGGTCAAATAATTTATACTTGTGCCGATAGGTCAAAAACTACAATGTTTGCAGTGTCTGTAGGTCAAAAATCCCATTGAGTCAAATAATACAGTCCGTGCTAAAAATGTAGTCTACGTTAAAATGATTGACACATTGGGAATTTGACCTAATGCAACAGCAGTATTAATATGACAAAATACGATCAAATACAAGTTCATTTTCGCTGAGTCAACAGTGCCCGAAGGTCAAAAGCAATTAAAAGTAACGTCGATTCAGTGCAAAGTAGACCTCCTGCAACGCTCACAACCAACAAAATGCGCTTATAGTTACTTTTTGTGTTTTGTCATAATTAGAATAGAGCTAAAATTATCATATTTGGTACATAGCTTATCTATTAATGCTTCTGGCCAACTGTTAGGTCAGAACTGTAAATACGTATAGTTTATTTTTCGAATATAAGGTAATGAAAAGCCTTTCGTCAAACTTTGTGGCATGAAATAGTTAGTGAGCACGGAATCAGTTTACGTATTTGTCAGAGATGTTTTGTTAATGGAAAAATTGATGCTAATAATTATATGCTACACATACGTTTTTGGAAGAATGTTTGGTATACTCTGGTTCGAGAGATATTTCACCTAAGAAGAGGTAACAATAACCTTGACGCTGCGGTCAGGACGATCTCAAAATTTCTGGTTATTATATACGTTTGCAAATGGAGATCCATTTAATTTTAGAACTAACTATATTATGAGTTATAATGTACAGATAAACTGTGTACCTACATATATTAAGCCTCGGAAGGGTTGAAACCTGTCCAAACTATCATATATATTAAAACGTAAATGGGTTTTTTTGTTTCACGATTCTGAATCAACCAGTCGACGGATTTTAATGAGTTTTGTGTTAAAAGAAATAAAATTTTGATAACTAGAGAATGTCAAAGCCATAATTTTTAATTAGGGTCCCAGTTTTTTTAGAAATTAGGTTTTAATTTTTTTAAGTCTAGCAGCCGACGCTAACATGCTAAGCTACCTTTTAGTACAATATAATTTGCTTAACATAACAGCTGTAAACATTCAGCATTTGGAAACAAATTTAAAGACATATTTAGAGTTGACTTATTTATACTATGTGTAATGCTGACCATTGATACATTCAATTCTTCGGTATGATGATAGCAGATTAATTAAATATGCATAGTAAAATATGGATGTTCAAATTATTTTTTTAAAGCAATCTAATCATCGATTTGTTTTAGTCCAATATAATTCGTTTTAACTAACAGCTGGTTGAATGTAATATTATTCTATAGAACTATTAGGTTTTTAGCGAATTTCCCATATAGGGAATGTAGCTCCTAAACGAGTAAGTTTAGAGCAAAATTGCAAGAAGTAAATTAGTCATAGAATTGCATCTACATTCCATAAAGACTATAAAATAAACAGTTTTCCACTTTTCAAGTTTGCCGCCCTTTTAGAAAATGACCGCCATTTTTGAAATAATGTAATTAATATTTTTAACAAATTTTATGGTTTTTTTGGAATGTGGATGCAATTTTAAGACTTT